TTATCATTTTAAACACTAGTGACACTTCACGTACAGTGATCATAGTATGTGATGAAAATAGAATCCCTGTAACCAACATGACCTTTCAGTCGGTAGTTGGCGAATTCGTCCGACCAGAAAACCGAATGAAGGTGAAAGGGAAAAATATTGCCTATTGATTGCTACTATCATTGACGAAATCATTTGTGCTTACATGATCATCCGAATACACCATTTTACGTGGGGTTTGAGAAACGAAAGTTTTCATTTGCGTAACCGTCATTTTGAATAGAGAAGCCATAACTTGGATCCGCTTCCTTTCAGCGCACCCCATTGGTCAATTGACCACACATTTTTCTAACCCCGGATTGACCACCTGTCTTCCCACGCTCTTTATGTGTTGAAATGAGGCAGACCTCAGTCGTGCATCTTATCGAGCTCTGTGACGGACGTCGAATCGGTGGATCGGTGAAGCCATGCTATTTGCGTGTGACAACCAAGTCGGACGCCACTCGATAAGCATGAAGGGTGACACACTGTTTCGTGCTCACTACAGCTAAAGTAAATTTGGTCGTAGTTACTCTAACATTGACGATAGCTCAATAATCAAAGTTGACCAGAGTAACTACGACCAGGGACGAGTTTTGGGCTTACGGTGCAATCCGAGCGATGTAAGAGAATCATGGGTCTATGTGAATAACAGTATTTGTTCAGTGACGGAGGTTGGAGTTCTTGAGGTGAGCTTGGGTGACTGGGCTGTCTGTCATCAATGACTAAGCAGAACCAGTTACACCTTAAGTGTACCTCGCCTATTCCTGGCTCAGCCCACAGAACTGAACGAAACAGAACGCAGTCGATTTGTTTGGTAAAAGGGGTTACTCGTTTTCAGAATAAGTATTGTTGCGTGAGAAACATCAACAAACGACATTTTTTATTGCACAGTGCGATCAGTGCTAAATCAACTCCAGCAAAATGGTACCCATCAAGCACATCATTGTCGGTTGCGACAATGCTCCTTACCACAACAGACTGGAGGAGATATTCACTGAGCGTGAATATCGTGAGGCAAAGCTGCTGAGGATGCCACCATACTCGCCAATGCTCAATCCGATTGAGCATATGTGGAGCTTGATTAAGAGCAAATTCAAGCTCCATTTGAGCGATAATTATCCGAGCCTCCTACAAGGGGATCCTGAAGGTAAAATCAGTCAAGCGGAATGGCGAATGCGGTTCTTGGAGCATTCAGGCGCGAGAGCAATATCGTCGATCCTCGATTCTCATTGCACTGGGTTCATGTAAGATTCGTAGACATTTTACATGCCTGCCCTTAACGGTGAGGACATAGGAGACCACTGAGATTGGTTCCAACAGAGAACGCAGAAACTGCCCTTCCCAGGGCAACCAAAGACTGATTTTATGGTTGTTGTTTTGATTTTTGAACTTATTCACCTCTAGATAGAATGCACTCGGTTGGGATAAATCGAAATGAAGGGTGGATTTACTTGTAGTTTGAACGGTAAAAACGTACAGGAGAAAGGACTGCATCATGATTTCATTCCCATATAATGGATGATAACGTCATAGACTTTGCATTGAACAATCTCAGAGATCAACAGAGGAGGAAAGAGCCTTAATAATAATAGGCATAATAATAGGCATCTCGCCATGTATCAGCTAGTCGACCTAACTTATAGATATTAATGCTGTTCATTTCTATCGAACACTTTTGCGATTCTGTCGGAGGATCGCTGCAGGATATTTTAGTGTCCTCACATTGGTCAATGTGATGGCTGATTGCCAGCTTATGAAAAAAAGTTCCGCTGTAAAGCTGTGTAATTCTTGGATGTTCCTTATGCAGCAATTATTTTTCTGACAATGAGTATCCGCTTTTCACCTTGAAAACGCCTCCTTTTATCAAACGAATGGATTACGTTCTGTTTGGTTTAGTTCTGCGGGTTTAACGAAGAATGAGCAGTTTGATAATCTATACCATTTTAAAACCATGTAGGAATGGAATTTATTGCTGATTGAAAGGGGTTCATGAAGGTGATCCGGTTGTGTGCATTAGCATTGGCTGGCTCTTGCCCCACAATCCTGGTCAGCTCCACTCGATAACCACGGAGAAACACACTTCGTCTCACTTGACATCTCAAAGGCCTTCGACCGAATTTGGCACGAAGGTCTACTGGCAAAACTACCCACACTCGGGTTCCCCCCAGCGCTCGTTGCGTGGATATCAAGTTTCCTCAGTAAGCGAACCATCTCCATCCTAGCTGATGGGGTTCTATCTCAGCCATTTCCTGTGAATACTGGTGTTTCCCAAGGTTCAGTACTTGCGCCCACTCTCTTTCTACTATTTATCAATGATCTTCTTTCCCAAACCGCCAACCCGATTCATTCTTTTCCTGATGACGCCACCCTCTGTTGCTCCCTCTTCTACCGCACTGCTCGCCATGCCCAAACCAGCATCGATGGTGATCGGAGTGCAGTTATTGTGTCAGTGGACTCCGATCTCGAACACACCTCCTCCTGGGGCATTGCAAACCATGCTTCTTTCAATAGTTCTAAAACGTCTCTTCTTTCAATTTCTTTAAAGCACCATTCATTCTCAACCCATTCATCTTTTAATTCTACCCAACTGCGTTCCATAGACTCTGTTTCCCTTGTTGGATTGCCTATAATTTCTTCTTTATGCTAGTCCCCTTATATATCTAAGCTTGCTTCTCGTGCTGCGCGCAAGGTTGGATTTCTATCTTGCGTCAGACGTTTTTCACCCCAGCTCATCTTCTATTGTACAAAGCTGAAATCCGCCCTGCT